ACATTGTTTATGGACTGTCCATGGACTGTCCATGTCCAATAATTTGCTTGGACATATGTCCATGTATAACACTGATTGTAATCATTACCGTTTATGATTAAAATTAGTTAACGTTCTCTTTAATTATTGGTTGTGTCGTTACTCATGATCAGCCACATTTCCTTATATACTAAAATAAAAAGATTTTTATCAAAAAATTTTATATTATCTTAATAGCTCTATATGCTCTATATGCTCTATATACTCTGATCTATATGATCTGATTAGCGCTGCCCCTTAAGATTTTTTATAGTATACGGGTTGTATTTATAAGATCCTTTTAATTAATTAATTAATTCAATTTATAATTAATAAAAAAAGATCAGGTTATGTTGATTGGATTTCGGTTTGGTCCGAAAATTTTACTAAGAGTATATATTTACTTTTTTGGGCTGGATTGTGGGCCAACCCGAATGTGATCTGAAGACTTCAGATAGGTCTGACCCGATCAGATCACTATCTGCTAATATACAATAAAACCTTCAAAGTACATGTTCTTGGGACCAAACTTTAGTGACGTGCACTTAGAGAAGAAAATATGCATTTATGAAGATTATGTATATACTCTGGCCTGAATGCGAGTTAATTTCATAGTAAAAATTTTATTCACTTTATCTGCATGAATCTCTATTAACTGGTATATAACCCTGTAAGAAAATTGTACCAGATAGGGACGGATATCCATGTTAATACACGTGAATCTGTGGCAAGGATCGAGAACCGGATTTGTACATATGTGGTTTATGTTGGCGCAGATTTTTTGGAACCGTTTTGAACTGTATGCCGTGTATTTCGGACCGTAATTGGACCGGGTTTTGCAGCACTTTACTAATCTAAAATCCACGGATTTTGGCACGGATTTGAAGAACGTTTTGGACTGTTTGCACGTTCTTTTTGAACTGTAATTTGGCACAGATGGGTCAGATAGAACTGTTTGCCTATGCATTTTTTAAGCCTTTGCTACAGTAGTTTACTAAGCCAAAATACATAGATTTTGGCTTTTCTAATGGAAATATATTGGACTTTTGAACTATGCGAATATATATAATCAATTTAGCATCAATGATTACTTTATTATTCTATGACAAATGTTGAGCATTATACATCAAATATGTATTTCTAGTATTAGGAGTTAAACCTAAATTTAATGACTCTAATTTTCTGATTTTATCATTTGTTTGTACTAAAATAGCTTCGTGTATTCTATATAAGGGGCTTCAAGGTGATATTTGATAGCTTCGTCTTTATTAACTGTATCCAAATATCAAGAGTTAATTCCAATTCTTCTACCCATGTAATTGTAATATTGTCTTGGACTTTTGTAATAATGTCTTAATAGCAGAAACCTAAATAATAACTGTAATTAATTAATTAATTAACCCATATAACAGTAATTAATAAACTCACTTGTAAAAGAAAGAATTATATTATTATGTACATTTAAAATGAAATGCGTTACTATCTATGCTTTGTTCCTTTGTTTTCCTGATTTTGGCATTAGTTTATTTTTTTCTGGTCAATTCTTGTTAGTTGATAAGAAAGATAATGGAGCATTTCTTTTCAAATTCATTTTGGTAAGGAATTATCCAATTCTTGACAATATCTTTTAAAATTATGCTGTGTTCAGCTATTAATTTTATCATTTAATTGTTTGATAGATAAGTTAGACTTTAATGTACCTATGCAAAGCAAAAACAAAATTAAATTAAATTAAAATACTGCTTACTAATATTAAATTAATATAATTCTATAGCAAATACCTTTAAAAGTTTGTTGCGAATTGTTTTTATGATTTTTAGCCTCTTTATTATTATTATTTTCAGTCTCTTCCTCGTCATTAGTTTCAGCCTCTTCTTCATCATTAGTTTCAACCTCTTCTTCATCATTAGTTTTAGCTATTTCCTTATCATTACTACTATGATCATAATTTTTATGTAATTCAGCAGTAAGATATTTTAAATCTAATTAAAAGTAATTAATAACTTGAATAAAACTAAACAAATTATTATATAAGTTGCTACAAAGAAATTCTGAAGTGAATATTTAAAATGTTACTTTAGCGAACTTATAATAAATTTGCTATGTAATAATTTAAATATTTACTTTTTAGTTTTACTCTGTAGCACTCAAATAATCATAACTTGCCTTTACTTGAAGTATTTGCTTCATGATTACTATCATCAGATTCTATATCAGATGCATATGCTAAATTTGTATTCTCTTTATTATAATAAGTAGAAAGTCTTCGTAATTCAAATTCTTGAACATTACTTCCAATTTGCACATTAGATTTAATATTTTGCTTTTTGTATTGCTTTCGTCGAAAATTATCAGCTAAAAAATAAAACAAAAAAAATTAAAAATTATATTAAGAAATTTATTATTTAATCATTAATAATATTTTTAGTCTTTACCTCTATCCATTAATTTTTGCTTAAGACATTCTTGTACAATCCATTTGTTAGACCCAATTTGAACTTTATGTTTGTTATATACCTAAATATAAATTAAATTTGATAATAAATAGATTAAAAAATTAACAAATTTGGATTTAAATTTAAGCCATTCAATGTTGATTTTTAGATTAACATCAATCTTATAGTTTTTTTCAAAAATTAACAACATTAAATAAATTTCACTAGTGATATAATTTTGTTAACTAAGGATTATTGACATTAATCTAAAGTCAACTAGAAGTGGCCTTAATATTAAAGTATAGATCTGTATTTTTGATTTTTTTAAAATCTTAAAATAAAATATAATTATAATTATCTTACATCTTCGATCTAACTTTCTCTAGCTGAATATCCTAATTGTGACTATGTTGTTGACTTAACAATTTTATTTGCTCTGATATGTGGAGTAAAATCAGCTTTAATGTTTGCAAAATAAGTTTTTGGTAACCAAGGGCAAAGCTCCCAAAGTTTAATTTTTGATGATTGATTTTTATCCCGTTTAGGTGGTTGTATAGTAGGTATTTCTATAATAGCTTGCTCGATTCTTTTTTCCTCTAGTAACTTGTTAAGTAATTTTCGTTGTGAATTATAACATAATTTTAAAACTTCTATTTTTTGTTGAGCTGATAACGTATCTAATATTTCTTCAGAAGGAGCTTCACTATCTATAATTTTTTGAGATAGATATGAATAGGTAATTGACATTATTATTAAAAGTAAAAGTTGAGTGCAGACACCAAGAGCATCGTGTGCTTTACTTAACGATGTAGGGAAAAGAGAACATGTATTCGCATCAAAATAGTTCAAAAGATACTGAATTAGTTTCATAAATGAATTAGAAGCCACATTGGACAACCGATATCTTTTCTGGTGTTTAAGAATCCATAGGGCGACCCACATAAAATTATTATTGATATCTATAGATTCTTTTTGATTAATGTTTTCAAACATTATTGCCGGTGCATTAAAATCTATCTCTTGATCAGATAGATCTTCATCTTCATCAGAAGAAATTTCACTAAAATCTTCAACTTCTTCTTCTGAGAATAAAATATCGGCAATTTCAATAGGTAATGCAGCACTGATCCTTCCTCCACCAATTGGTTTTTGCCTTGTTTTTTAGGAATGAAACTATAATTCCCAGAGTGTGTAGATATTACAGAATCATTATCGGAACTATCAATCTGCATAGGTTCCTCCGAAACATCAACTTCAGGAAAGTCCATTTTGGGAAGATCCATAATAACATTTGGAGCAGTAATAGGATTTGTTCTGCTTGTTGAAGGTTCAACAATGTCATTGATTTGTCTTGTTAT